TATACAGGTAAAGCCATGTATTTACAGTGACACATTGCCTACACAGTGTAGGTATCAGTGTATCAGTGACCTTGGTGGAAGAAGTCATGCCTAGCGGAACTGTCTTCCCTTTGGCTCGATCCAGGTGTTGCACTGGCCAGGCTTAGAGCAACAGACTCCAAAATGCACAACAGGTATGAATATATGCTGCTGTGTTGCCTGCACACACTATACTCATTAGGTCAGGTTTGGGTAAATTCCCCTGTAGAGTTTAGTTATGAAAGCAGGAACAACTTGACAATGAACTGAAACTGCACTGTGATGAGCACTGCTGCAGCTAAATGCAGATGTTGTTTTCTTTGTGAAGCAAACCTTATGTAGTACTGAATCATTGTAATGTATGTATCAAGCCTCAAACTGTATACAGTAAGTGTATAGCCAAACAGATGAGATTATATAATTTATATATACAGTATGGTGGCCTTGTTACTGTTGGTGTTTTCTGACTCCAGAGCACCCTCGTTTGAGGTGGAGTGAAATGAACACAAAGTATAGGGCAGCATTTACACAGGCACAAAGGATCGAATCAGCTCGACAGGTTAAACCCAACTTCTGACTGGATATATTTCTGTTCAGTTGGCTGTGGTGAGATCCGAATGTGTCAAAGTAAAACTGGTCTTATTCTTTTCTGTCGCTGTTTGAATTGTAGTCGTTTCACACGAGCAAGAACATCTTCCTCAGAACGTCTGATGTGCAATGAGACATTTTCTGCAAACTAATTCCAGGAACGTTCGCTGCTCCAAGCAAATTTTGCTGTGCTGACACTATGACTAAACTAGTTCCCCAAGGGGCTGTGGCTTTCAAAGGAACTGAAAACCGTTTTTAAAAAAAAGGTTGGTGCCATTTGTGCCTGTGTAATTGCAATGAATATTACATACTTGTGCTCTCATGTTGCCAAAATGAGCCCTGTATTTCTACAGAGAAAAATTCTGTAGAGAAACTCTAAAACTAATTATTTCAAAGTAGCAACACTAGCCTATACTAGCCAAGCAAGCAGCCTAGATTAAAGGCACATTTCACTGATTGTTGACACTAATTCAGTGGATGCTGCTGAAAGGACTAATAAGAGCAACAGATGCTGTCATCTTTGGTGTCCGTCTGTCTAACTGGCTCTGACGAACCACTGACGGCTAGCTGACAACATGACCACTCCACTTACTAGTTAGTGGTTCAGAACAGACTTAAGTGTTACACACTTCTGACAACATAGCCACAAAATCTCTTTAAACACTTGCCAATCCTATATTGCCTGTGATTAATTTGAAATCATTTATTTATTAATTTTTACTTTTAGAAGTCCGGGGAACTTGTTTGAGCTTTCCCTTTGAAGTAAGTTGTAATCTGTGCAGATGGAGACGGTTACAAAAGAACCACATTTTACTGCTGCTCCATTCCTGAGAGGGAACATTTGAAACTCTAAACCATTTTTGTTCCTGTTTTTTAAGATAAGATTGAGGCGTGTTGGGTTTGTGTTGGCAAACTAGTACTGATGACTAAAGTACAGTCTTCAGTGACGGGTTATGATACGAGTTCCTCTGCACACGTTTTGTACTTGTATACATTGTTTACAACCTGTGATTTTTCAAAAAAACTGGAAGTATTCATTCCCATGAAAAGATAAAACAGGCCTGGGTTCAGTTCAAGAAGTGTTTTCCCTGTTTCAAATATTTAAAAACTCACATATCATCACTTAAGTACTCTAGGCAAATGTTTCAGAATTGCACCCTGGCCTGAACCATTTTTGTACAGTGTTGCTCTTATAAATCTCCCTTCTTTCAATGGGACTTGTACAGTGTTGATACCACCGTATGTTGTATATACATAATGTTGATAATCACTGTGGCTGTTGAGCTTACTAAATCCTGCCAGTTTAATATTAACTCTATTGCCAACAATATGTTGCCTTGACTGTGTAGCAGTTTCTGATTAAATACATACAGACAGAAACTTTCATGTTGTTTACTGTTGTCTTTTTCCTGTCACACTGAAACCAGCAAACTCTGATTTGGTTTTCTGGTTCTCTTACACACCTCATGAGCAAAGGATTCAATAAAAATAGTTTATTTGTTTTCACAACCGTAACACAGGTAGTTCTTCAAAAGTGATGTCAGGGAGACGAAAAGAGAATTAAATATAAAATTTATTAGGCAAAATGTACAACAGCTGCATAAGCTATCTTACAGCTCAAATATAGACTTTATTTTGCTTCCACTCTTTGAGAGTGGAATATAATATTCAACTTTTTTAAATTCTGCAATGAACTGTGAAAACATTCATAAAAAACACACTTGCTCACATTTATCAAACTTCTCAAAGCAGGAGAGCTAATGTGAAATCCAGTTTGAATCAGTGTTTTAAAGAATGGTCAAAGCAGAATAAACGACTTAAATAACGTTTTTAAACTGAAATTCTTAACCAAGAGAGATACTAGTTATGGCGTTGTTTCGCCTCCTTCGGTCCAAACAATGCAGAGCTAAACAAAATGACTCTTTCCTCAAATCCCACAGCTGCTAATCTGTGTTCCTGTAACGTTCTGTCTCCATGCTGGATCTGCACTGACTTACATCTCCTGCCAACAGTGAGATGTGAAACAAGACAAATTAAAGTGCATCCCCCAAAAAAATCACTGAAGACTGTAACACAATCAGTTACTGCCCTTCCAATGCAATTTAAAACTCTGGAAAAACAAATACATATTATTTTCTCTTAATCAGATCACCAGAGAAAATGTACTTTTCATGTGAACCATGAAAACTATATTACAATATCAAATAGTTTAAAACTTGAAATCTCCAAAAAAGGACCCATCAACCATGTGCTACAACAGCTCCAGAACTTTTATGTCAACAATTTGTTTTTGTTCTTCTTATGCTTTTAAGAATGGTGTAATAAGTTCTTGTTAAAGTATTGGAAGTGAAGTTTTAGTCCAACCCCACAATAAAAAGAACATCTGCTCACTAAAAAAAAGAGGCTTCAGATGAGCTCTCCTGCTTAGAAACAGTAATCGAGTAAATGTGGCCTACAGAGACGCAAAACAAACGTCAGGATGGATTGGAAGAGTGGGATGACATCATCAGTAAGCACCTCGTAGCCCGCTGCTTCGGGAGCCTCCGCCCCCTCCTGAGTTACCATAGTAACCACCGCTGCCGCCACGACCTGAGGGGGATTTTGAAAAGATTGGTCAGTGGAAAAAGGGTTACATTTATTTCTCGCTTATAACGAATTCAACTAGAAGACAGTTAACTGACATTCAGAAAACCAATAAGTAAAGTTTTTGTACAAATAAATACAGCAGCCATTCCTGATCAGCATACAAAGGAATTACCTAACTTTATTTTATCACAAAAGTGAATGAAAACTCACTCATTTCAGCTGCTCCACTGGCTGTTGAGTTTAGAAACAGCTCAATATAGCGATGCTCTGTGGGGAAAACATCAACATCGTCACATCATTCTTATCAAAAACCTGTTGTTCTGCTATTAAATGTCAATGAAATCCATCTGGTTACTTTCCCAACTAGTTCAAGTTGTACGTTGTTGTTTAGTTCACAGCGTTCTGATTTGCTATAAAAATGGTATTTCCCTTTTTAGACGGTTTCATTTGTTTTATGGTTAATGGTTTGTGCTTTTATTCTTTTTTTAGATATAACTTAGTCAACAAGTAGATTTGTGTCATGAACACATAACGTAGTGTGAAAAAGTGGTGCCACAAGATCCAACAAAGGGGACAGACGAGCTAAAGAGGAAAAGGAGGACATACGCATGTGGTTCTTGTCTTTGGACATAGCTGCCACAGCGTCTTCATGGGAGCGAAACTCCACATCTGCTTCTCCAGTGGACTTGCCGTTAGGAGCCACGTCAATGTGGACCCTCAGTGGATTCAAAGGAGAGAAGAACTATATGAAGAAGGAAAAAAAACAAATATATACAAAGATGTATATAGACATGAACAGGGAGACACAAGGCCTCTCTCATTTGTCTCTCCTCTGTAATCCCACTTTTAGTTTCTATGAGTAGAACGTCGGCCCACAAACAAAAACATTTTATAACTAACATCAAGCAGGAGAAAATATTTGAGACCTAGAAAATTGAATTTAAGGCTTTTCTTTAATAGCCACTAAGGCCTTTTTTGAGTAAACTTAATACAGTGATCTTAAAGGCTTTGCAGATAACCTGCACAGAGCCTCACTGTTTGAAAGACAAACAATAAAAGTAACTTGTCTGTGTGTGTGTGTGTGTGTGTGTGTGTGTGTGTGCTTACTTTAGCGATGTCTCCCTCTGTTGCACGGAAAGGTAAACCCCTCATGTGGACAAAATGGCCACTGTGGAAGCCTGAACAACCATCAGCTTGCCCACTGTAACCGTGGCCTCCCATCCCTGAGCCAAAACACACAAACACAGCCACAGATCACCACAATGGGACCTTTGGTAATTTAGAATTGAGACATAATCTGATACATACCAACTATTAACTTGATGATAATGAAACAATAAAGATGTACTGCAGATAAGTTATTAATGTTTCTTGTTAAATGTGTGAATTCTTCATATAGCTTCAAATGAGAGGTCTTGGCTTCATTTAAGGGCTTCAAGCTACGAAACTCACTCCTGATTCTATTTTATTAATTCTTAATTATCTATTTATGCATATCCACAATGTCAAAGGTAAAAATGTTTAAGTGTAGAAATGTTGAGATTTGCACCAAAAGATCATTCATTTGTAAGAGAAATAAAATGTAAACTAAACAAAAACAATTATTAGAAAAGACTTCAGACTTTCAGCAGGGATGTTTCACTGTCGGTATAAAACGATGCTGTCAAACATTAACCCAGCAGATCGTCTAAATCCCAGAGGCTAGATCAATTTTGGACTTTACCTCTTCCTCCCCTCTCTCCTCTCACTCGCTCGTCAAACATGCCGTTGCCAAAGCAGTAGTTGTTGAAACCATTGTAGTTGTCAAAGCCACCGTAGCCTGGACACAACACAAAGTGTAACACAGGAAACACGACACAACTGAAGCAGGGCTCAAAAACAAGACTGAAACACAGGCCAACTGGAGTGTAAGACTTTGTTTACTGGTGGTTCAAAAACATAAAAATAAGGACACTATAAATGTGGAAAAAAATGAAAAATGTCTCGTCTTTATACATTTGACTGTATGTTCATGATTTGACTGCTTTTGTGTTGTTTTGTAAAAATGGAAAAATATGAAAGTTGAACAGTAAAGCAGAAATGAACCAGCTACAACACTGTTACCATACTTAATACAGAATATCCATTCCTTCATAAGGGAGTAGGAATTTGAAATAGGCTTGTTCATCTCACACATATGACAAAGTTAATATTTATATCTTAGTCAACCACTCCACTCTCAACATTCATACCGAAATAAGAAACTCTGCTTACCTCCTGCATAGCCCCCTCCGCTCCTCATGGTGTCCATCAGAGCCCCACCGCGGCCAGGCCCGGGCCCATAAAACCCTCCTCTGGGGCCCCCCATCATGGGTCTATCGTAGGGCCCTGGTCTCTGGCCTCCCATTCCCCGCCGCGGCAGCTCATAGTAGGCTCTGATCTCATTACGACTGCTCTTAAAAATCTCTATATACCTGCAATATGAGAAGCCCATGGGGTGGAGGGGGGCAGAGGAGAGGGTTAAGGTGTAGAAATGGCTCAGCTTGGGTTACATGCATAGACATAATTCACAGAGAGAGAAGATAAACACACAAAAGACAAATATCCTAAATAGTGGTCTATTCCATTCCTAATTAGTAGTTCTAACCTGGAGCGTCTGAATGACTGAACCTCAACAAAGTCTCATCATTAGCTGGGCTTAGGGCTGTAGTAGAGGATTTCTACGCCAACCTCACCTCTTGTTACTTAACGTAAAGAAAATCTATTTAGGTGTTGCACTGATCATTTTAATGTTTGATGCTTTAATGGTAGAGGCTGCCTTCACTGTCCTCTGCTGTACTTCTACACATAATCCCCTCTTCCACAGTAAATTATCTATGAGATACATGTACAGAAGGATAGAAAGGAAGTGCCAAATGTTGCTCTAACAAAATTAAATAGAGCTCACAGGTCTTATCTGACCAACAACAAAACTGTCTATGGCATTAAATACTCACACCACCTTCAATTTATAGATTAGATACATGATCTTTCATCCCATTATTCAACATGTCACCATAGTTACAATACATGAACCCATTAAACCCCTCCCATTAGCATTTTAATTAAGTATTACATGACCCACCCAATTCATTTAAACTTTATCATTGTTTTACCACAATTGTTTCTAGCACACCAACCCATTCTTAACATTGACCCCATTAACACCACAATTACTCTAACATGACCACCCATTAAATACTACAATGGAAGCCCAACCCAGTCCAGCCCGTCCCTTTCCCGTCTGTCCCACCTGTGCCCTATTCTTTCCTTGTGTTTCCCCAGAGCCTTTTCTGCTATCTCCTTTGAGGCAAACTGCACGAAGGCTTCCCCTGTGCTCCTCCCCTGGTAGTCCACTGGCAGAGTAATCCCATTTGGCACGATTCTCAACCCTTCAACCCAAGCACACATAAATACATAGGTCGGTAGGTAGACTGATAGATATGTAGAATAGATAGAACAACACCCACTGCAACACTGGAGCTTTCAGGATTAATATGTCATGACAGCTGTAGTATCTGATAAGACTGCATTAAAAAGGGGGCATCTCAGAAGACTTAATTTACACTTGTAAGGTGCCCAGCAGGGGGAATTAAACAAATACTGGTCTGGAGTCAGCAGCTATAAAATCAAAGTAATGCAGATTAAACTTTTTCTCTGATACACAACCAAATTTAGGCCAATGCCAAAGTTCTTATTTATTAGTGTTGAGTGACACTGGCTGTTAATAATTCTTATTTCAGTATTGATTATCCTAGATAAAAGGCTGCCAGTTAACAGGATTATAGTACTGACCCCAGATCAGTGTCATGGGACTGTCTCTCCTCAGCCAAACCAAACCAGCCCAGCCCGTTCTATCTTTTAACCCCCTTCAGGAGGCATGATATCAAGGTCATGTAGCATAAGCAGGTTAAATAATGTGTTAACATAACAGTAACATGGTAAGAGGCATACTAACAATTCAACAAAAGGACACATTAGCCAACACATTATGACTATACTACAAGAACAAACATACATTAGGCCTTTGGGCCATGACACACAGACATGTTAGCTGACTAGCAGTCAAATTAATACCACTTTGTAAGAGAGAGATCCAAAATGTGAAAAGATAGTGTTGTGCGTTGGCAAATGTTAGTGTATGTTTATGCTGTTGGGTTAATCAGCAAAGTGGAAAGCACCGTTCAAAGTGCAGTTGGCAGTACTTTGGATTTGTTCATATTTCCTAACATAATGGTAAACTGTTTATGAAAGCATGTAAATGTAAAGTTGACTGTTGTTCCACTTTTATTTTCTATCAGAATAATGTTAAAGAAGTTATAATAAGTTCTACCTGGGTAATTAGACAATTTAAGGAACTGATAGTTGATTCATTTCATTGGAACTGTTTGTTGGCCTTATTTACTGAAGCCTATGGACAGATTTTATGTGATAAAGGGCTATAAAACATAAATACTGACCAAGAAATGAGTGAAATGTATTCAGAGCCTACCTGAAATTTCTTTTAGTGGTTTTGCCTCATTTGATTGTTACCTAGCTGCAGTTCTGTCCTTAAACCCTTAAACTGTGGTGTTAACAGTGGAAAAAACTACAATACTTGGTTAACAGCGTATCTATAAAAACTGTCCCTAAGTTGAACATAAACAGTGTAATATAAGTACAATTCAACAGAGTAATTAGACAAAAGTTTGTACCTGAGAAGAACTGAACAATCTCCTCCTTACTACAGCCAAAGGGAAGGCCTCTAAGTCTCAGCATGCAGCCACTGCAGCTGTCGTAGTCGGCAGGACCGCTACGTTTCAGCACCCAGTCCATCTCACTACGGTTTGACTTGAACACTGATTTAGACACAAAGACAGATCGACACACTTGTCAAACGTCAAGATCTGAAAGGACAATTAAACTTAGAAAGATACAAACTATTATTCGTTTGAGTCAAAGCTCATCCACACAAGCTGTGTAATGTCTATTTATACACAGTAAACAATATATTTGAGCCAAGACAAAAATTGACATGCATTTCAAAAACACAGGGAACAACATCTCAGCAACAGTAAGTTGTACTTTGACTGGATCCGTAATCTCATATAATACAGCAATTATTCAAATGGAAAGTTGGCACAGATAAACTGTCTGGAATGACTGTTTATATTTCTTACCCTCTATGTATCGGTGTCCCATGTATTTACGGTCTTTGGCGAGGGCATTCTTGAAATCCTCTGCTGTTTTCAGCTCAATAAATGCCTCTCCACTGGGACGGCCTTCTTTAGAGTAGGTGAAACAGACTCCGTTTATTTTACCAACGATGTCACAGTCTGTAAAAAAGTAAGATTGATTGAGATTTCCTGCCATAAAAAAAACTCCCAACAGAGGGTACAAGTGGATCCTATCTAATTTGAGCTGCTTGAAGCTCCACTAAGTACAATCAAACTATATACCATTCATTCTCTAATGGCTACAGTCATGTGAAATCTGAAACAATAATGGTGGGGTAAGCGATTCTAGGTAATGCGATTCTAATTCAATACACTTTTTTCAAATTCAGTCAAAAATCCCCTACTGGTCCTCTAGCGCTGCGTGCGCTGAAGAAAAATCTGGTGTTTGTACACAGTCCGGCAAATTGGGAACAAAGTGGATTGGAGCGAGCCAGGATTTGTGTGTCAGGGAGTGTTAAATGACTTGCCCAAGGACAGTACTTTCTAGTTTGCCAAGATATGCTGTTGTTGTGATGTTCGCTACAGTAACAGGAGAGTTGTGAGTATCGTGTGCTGGCTCTGGGAAACTGTCTTGTCGTCTCTGCATGTTAGCTGCAGAGACGGCAGCGACTTAAGCGACAATATGCAACCCCAAAACACAGCTAACATTAGTTACATTACTTGTCATGTCATTGTTCGCACTGCGTCATGGTATCGGCCATGGTACTGGATTTCTCAAGAGTCGCTTACCCGACTTTTAAGATTAAGTAACAGCTCAGAAGACGTTGAGAAACCTAAGTCATTTCTGTGTGTAAAACACGGTGATGGAAAGACACATTCACACATCAAATGTCAATGAGGCCAGCTACATTCCACTTACACTCAGACAACCAATAAAAAAACTTTCTGGCAGCAAAATCCCAAAGTGACTAAAACACTAAAACTAATTTAGATTTTAAAATACTTTTTGACTCCCACAATTCGTTATAATTCACCTGGTGTGATTCTGATGCTTTAGGCTCATATTTCTAAACACAGTGTGAACGTGAAGACACATCACAATGTCAACATTAAGCAAAAGAGCTGAGTTTATGAACTCATTTCAGTCTTACACTTAACGAACAGTGTTGATGCCTCAAGCCTTAAAGATATGAGTGTGTATTCTCACCAGAGAAGAAACTGGCCACTTCCTCCTGCGTGCAGGACCAGGGCAGTCCTCTGATCCGAACCACATAACCCTCTTCATTCAAAGACATCCTCGCTGCCTCACAGAGCACAACACAGCAGCAACACATTCAATTACTGGGCCAATAATACTTTTAGAAAATCAAATAACTTCCAGAACTCCTCATTGTGCAGAGTCCCTGGGCACAAAGTCTAAACTAAGGACAAAACTATTTTGCCCATTACCTGTGCAGATACCTTCCATACATATAGGCGACCTGCTTTGAGTCTAAATAGTCTTACATTAGGTAACTTACTGCTCTTTTATTTTTCTGTGGCTTAAATGTGCATTGACTATTCATTATACATATTTGTATATTCTTTATATGTGTGCAATAATGACGTAGTGTTACTCGTATTTGTACATGTATCATTAGAAACAGGGCAGGAGCATTCAGCTGGGAAATATGCATACACACATTTGTGTAATAATACGCTGCAAAACACAATTTCCGCAGAAAGCTCATATTAATGTAATAAAGCTCTGTTTCACAGCCTATATGAACATAAACAATCACCAGAAACGAAATCACTGTAGCCGGAATTAGAACCAGTATGCAACGACAAAGCCCCAGTAGGAAATATCTAATAATTGAGAAGTATAACGCAAGGTATGCAGCTGTCACAGCAGTTCAATAAGCTAATGTTTGTGACTTCCTCCTCCAAACTGTGTAAAGTGTAAACCAGAAGGCTTGCTAACTAACGTGACAGCAGGGGCTCGCTCAGACCTTTCCAAATCTACCCTAACAACACGTTATGGTGCTCTAGTTAAGTCGCTTCTCTGAACTTCAGGATAATACTGTGTGTCAGTCTGGACACCGGATTAGCTTCTGATGCTAGCTAACGTTAGCATTAGCAGGCTAACAGGCTAACTGTAGGACACTGACAGCGGTCAAACGTACAACGCAAACTAGTTCAATTCCCAACGGTGGTCCACTGTCACCGGGTATCAACATATGCGCTCAGGTAGAAATGTGTCAGACGTCGGAGACAAATGCATGAAAATGATGAAGTTGTCTTACAGTCGCCTGTTGTCCCCGGTCTCCTGCTCTGTCCCGAGCCTCAGGTGTCACTGACGG